ATCTTGACTTGTGGTTGAGTACAAGTAATATTCTGGAGGTGCCCAGTTATTTTTGTTGCAATAATAATCTAATTGCATTACCGCAGAACTAAAATGGTTAGATTTTAATGAATACATGCTAATTGGAGTAAGTTTTGTTCCGGGGAAAAATGGGTAACTACACCTTTCAATTTCAGGGGGACTTGGACTGTGCTGCCCATTAAATCGGACTGGAAGACTTGCTGGCTTTGCTAGAGATTTTTGATGAACGTCTTCTTTGTTTGCAAACACTAGAAGATTTTCAGAATTAGGACTAATTTGTCCATTAAGATGCTGCCTCCAAGTGCCCTCTTTGTTTACTGGTTTTGCCAATGTTACTTCAATGCTAGCTCCATCGATACACTTCCCATTCATGACTGACATAGCAGCAACTGCATCATCTCGGTTGAAAAAATGAACAAATGCGTAATCTCGAAGTTTTTTTACACGCTCAACAGCTCCTGGCTTGAATTTGTTAAATTCAGCTTTAATCGTTTCTTCTGTAGTGGAGATCATCAAGTTTCTAACATATAATACTTTGACCCTCTGCATTGTTTCTTCATCAACTTCTTTTTCTGGGTCTGCCCAATCTACCTGAATAGTATGGCCCCATAACTGGAATGTTCCTATAAATGAAAAGTAAAATGTAACCATAGTATCAGTTTCTAAGATATTTTACAGTACATTTGTAAGTAATATAGCAGTTATAACCATGGGTGGCTTATGCCTAAATTTTACATTTATGTTATAAATGTTTAAAAACAAATGTAGTCAACTTCAATTCTCCTATTATTCAGTATCAATACCAAAACCTATTGTTTGAAGTTTGAGCAATGATAAAATTTGTCAGAGTACTAGCTGTTTGAAAAGTTGTTTATCAAAGCAGTTGGGTATTTCGTACCTTCTACAACTGCAAACACTTTACACCTTTTCAATTTAGAGAACTGCAACATCTGAACATCAATTTTAAACTACATTTTACCTCTTTAGATAAAAATATATTGATCCATGTAAGGTGGACACACTTATTTTTTCACATAAAAGTCTTTAAAATCTGCAACATGCAAGTGCTCCTAAACACATGCAGAAAAGACAGTTCCACAACTGAACATATAAGAATATCAGGAGTGCCCTGCTGGATCAGACAGATGTCCATCTTGTCCAGAATCCTGTCTCACACAGTGGCCAAAATAGGTGATAGAGTCCAAAGCCATTCCCTAATGTTGCCTCCTGGCACAGGTGTTCAGAGATTTACTGCCTCTAAAGATGGAGAGTCCCTTTTAATTATCATGGCTAGCAGCCACTGATGGACCTATTAGAGATGTAAAATTTCCAGAAATTCTGAAGCCACAGGGGGAGGGGAAAAGTTCCCTGGAAAAAATATGGAAATTTAGAGAAAAAATTGAAATATATGCAATACTTACTTTCCTATCAAATCGAAACTTCTTTCAGTGATATAACATAAAATGCATCATTTATAATGTAGCATATAAAGTTGTATTATTTGGCATATTTATAGAATTTAAAAGTATAAAATATCTTCATTTTCTATTAGAAAAATTGCTCTATTATCTATGCAAGGCTTACCCAAATTAAACAGTTCACAGGTCAGTCTCTGCTGTGTACTCCTACAACAAGTCTATATCATCCATTCCCCACCCATGCAGCCTTTTGCACCTGGGGTCCACTGTGAAACTGTCTTTTCCATCACAGGGGTTCAGGGAGAGTCCACTCTATCAAGCCAGGAGGGTGAGACAAATCAGGATGCAAACAGCTCTGCCTGGTCATTTTCTGAGTGGGTTTGCAAGTCTTTCCCCCCCACACACACACTTTTTGCCTTCCCAGTTTCTTCCTCCTTGGGAGTAGGGAATCCAGGCACAGCATCTCTCTCTTGAATCTCAACCTTGGTTAAATTGCTTATACTTGGGAAGCTTCTTCCACTTTCCTAAAAGGACTGCATTAGGCTGCTTACTTCACACCTTTGTGCACTTGGGGCGTTTTCTGCCCACTCACCTAATGAGCCACGTTGCCAGCTCTTCAGCCTTGCATTCCCAAATCTCATTCAAAGCCAGGCTATCCTGCAAAGTTACTCTTGTCAGCACTCACAAATCTCTTCCATTCCCAAGTTCCAATTCTAGTTTTTGCGCTTTACCCTTCCATGCTATTTTTTTCTGCACAGCCATTTTCTGAGCTGTGAGCAGAAGCCATGCCAGCAGACTGCCAAATCAACTGGGGTGCACTTTTTCTCCACTTCTGGCCAAGCCATCAGTCCACTCAAAACCACCAAATATTTTATGACTGAGCCCTGCTGGGACTAGTCAAGGACTCTCCAACGTAGCCTCCTCTGCCAAATGTGTTACGACTGAGCCCCACGTGCCCTGCTGATGCCAGCCGGGGAGCTGTCTCTCCTGCTCAGCTACAGCCACCCTCCTTCCCTCGGCATCTCAGCATATCAGTTCTTGCAGGATTCTGCTGACTACACCACTGTTTGGGGCTCTGGCCAGAAGCTCCAGGTTCATAGAAATCCCAAGGCAACAATATGCAAGATCCAGGTTTGCTTACAAGATTTTAATAAGCAATGATCAAGCTTACAGAAATAGCAGGCTAAGCTCCCATCCACTGAGTCTCGAATGCACACATGCACAGCAAAACATAGCCAGACCTCGAGACAAGATCCATAGCCAAAACTAAGCATCTTATACCCTAAGTGCTGGCTATTAGCCAAGAAATCATTAATCAGGTTATCCCAAACACTGAGATGAGCCAGGCCACCTCACACCTGGTGTCTAGTGATAAGAGAAAACAAATTAGTTAAGAGCTGCTAACAGGCATGAGAGAAATATTCTCCTGAGAGCAGCCTGTTGGACTCACAGAACTCAAAGCAACTAAAAGGTAATTAGTACCACAGGCTGTAACAAAGATAGTGTTACCGAGGCTATACAGTCTCTTCTCTTGAAAACCCTACAGGGTTGCCATAAGTCAGCTACAACTTGATGGCACTGTCCTCCACCACCACTAATCAGACTTTTGTTTAGTGACTTAGGGAGATTCAGTACAGTAAATTTTCAGTCCCTGCATTTACAGAGGAGTGAAGAACGGTTCAGTTTTAAGTTCAAGAGGCATGCAGTTGGGAAATAATACTTGGAGAGAAAGGGCTGCAGGGAGGTAGACCACAAGTGATGAAAGAGCTTGGCAATCCTCATCCATGCTGCCCATTGCCCTTAAAATCAGACTTTTCCATCCCAGGCATCTCCTCCCCCCCTCCCGCAGATCCAGATTAAAATACATCCACCTGTCACTATCACATCTAGTTTGGCCCTTAGTGAAGCAGAGAACCAGGACCTCAAAGTTACCACAAAAATATGAGATTCTAAGTTTCCTGGTGGAAGAAAGCATGTTAATGTAATTAAGAGACCTACCTGGAATTAATTTTCTCCTTGCCATAGCTGCAGCTCTGTGAGATTCATATTCCACAAAAGCAAAACCACGATTCTTTGTTTTGTCTGTTGCACTTGGATACACAATAACATCTACTACACCTTCAGTGACTTTTTTCATTTCATCCAAGATCTCTTCTTTTTTCTTTTCTTTTGGAATAGCTCCAATAAATAGTCTGCAGTTATCCAAGCTTACACAAACACCAATAAATTTCCCAGGACGAATTTCATAATTATTAAGGATCCTGATGGCAAGTTGAGCTTCTTCTTTAGTTGTATACATTACAAATGCATATCCTCGATTCTCACCACTAAATTCCATCATCAGTCTGAATTCATAGATCTTTCCTGCTCTTTCAAATACAGGAACCAATTCATCCTCATACATATCACGAGGAATCTTTCCCACAAAAACTTCACAGCCTCGAGGTGGTGGTGGGCCTTCCCAGCCTTAAAAAAAAAAGGTTCAGTGCCTCATTATTGCAAATACTTTAAACAACATACTTTGCATTCTGAATTTTAGTCTGTCATATCCTTGTTACCACGTGATTCTACACTCTTAAATTCATTCATCACACACTGGTTTGTAATTTATTTATTTAATTTCCCATTTATACCCTGCCCTACCCTACCAAGGTAGGCTCAGGACAGCTTACACAACATAAAACGCATATTAACAATCAAATTGCCATAAAACATTTAAAACAATTCATTAAAACAATACAATATTAAAGTGCTAGCTATGTTATTTAATGTCGTAACAATGGCGTTACCACGTGAGTGCATTCCATAAGTTAAGTTAGCAGCTCACTGATCTTCCTCAGATATAGTCGGTGCACACAGGCTGTCGATAACCAACCAGGGCCCAGGCTCTACAAGTTGTTATAGTTGTTAATAGTGGTGGCGGCTCCTAATTGAAAGCCTGGTGGAAGAGCTCCATCTTGCAGGCCCTGCAGAACTGTAAAAGGTCCCGCAGGGCCCTGATCTCTTTGGGGAGCTCAGTCCACCAGTATGGAGCCGCCACCAAGAAAGCCCTGGCCCTAGTTACAACCAGCCTGGCGTCCTTGGGACCTGGGAGGGCCAATTAGTTTTGTGACCCTGACCGTAGTGCTCTCTGGGGTATATATGGGGAAAGGCGGTCCCTCAGGTAAGTCGGACCCTGGCCATAAAGGGCTTTTGCAGATCAAGATAAAGGAGGATAAATTACATTTAAAGCAATATAAAGCTCTGGTTTCAATTGGACTTATTTAGCAGTAAGTGTGGCTAGGATAACAACTTTAGTCTGATTTCTATATAATAAAACAGATTAAACCTAATACTTCTTAAGTACTGGGACAGATAAGCAAAAAGTTTAAAATTTACTAGAAGGTTACACACAAAAAACCTCACACCTAACTTCAGATTTCTCCAACAGTGTCAGATTTATCAAGTATGTTTAAATCCTATATCAAAATGATATTTTGTACTCTACTTTCTTACCTGGTGGAGGCCCACCAAATTTTCGTTGACCATTTTCTTGAACCATGTTGTAGCCAGTCTTTTCCATAAGAGCCAATAAGGCAGCCTCATTCTGAGTACCAGTTCGAACTTTGCTGCACCCATTTGTTACATCGCTGTGTTCTTCATTCATAGTTGTGAAGTCTTCAAAAAACTGACAAAAAGTACAGTGTTACTTAAATTTCCAGAGCAGTTAATAATTTTGAACTTCATAAATACAGCCTTCACATTTGCTATATAAAAATCTATTAATGAACACTAGACATATATGCATATCACATAAGAATAACACCAGACATTTACATCCTTCAAGTTGCAGCCAACTTATCGTAACTCCATACGGTTTAAAGGCAAGAGATGATCAGAGGTGGTTTGCCATTCCCTGCCTATCAGGTCTATCAGTAGCTATTAGCCTCCACATTCAGAGGCACTAAACCTTTGAATCCTAGAGCCACGAGACAACATCAGTGGAAGGTCTTGGCCTCTTTGCCCTGTTGTCAGCCCTCCAGAGGAACTGGTTAGCCACTATGTAAGGCAGGATACTAGACTAGATGGACCATTGGTCTGATCCAGCAGGGACTCTCTTATGTTTTAACATCAATATATAGTCCCATTTATTTTATTTTTTTAAATCAGAGAAGAATGCACAACCATCTCACCCTCCGTTCTCCTGTAGCAGCCCAAAATGCTGCTCCTGAAAGAAAGGGACCTCCAAGACATGGAGACATGGGGGTTGGCAAAATTGCCCCACCCCTTCCACCTATGAAAATCCTTTTTGATGGAAGCCCCCTCTCCCCACATACGTACACACACACTCCTCAATCCTTTTTGATGGAAGCCCCCTCTCCCGACATACGTACACACACACTCCTCTACAATCTAGTGTTGCTATCCATTTATTCCATATAGATCTCAGTACAAGAACTGTATGGTGTATTAAACCCACAAAAGAACTAGATTGCTAGATTTTACACTGTTCCCCTCAAAATTAAACACAAGTAGTAAATTACTTCAGCTGGTATCAGCTTTAATAGCATATGCTTAAAACTTAATCAATATGTATGGAAAATGCACACTTTCACAAACACATAATTAAATTTTGACATGGTCTCAGTAATCATATTGCTATGACCCTCCTTTTGCATGCGGTGTATATAATCTGCATTAGAAAGAAGCTAGAAAAATGATCCAGCAATGGAAGTTTAACATTATCAATACTTGCTGGATACTAATGACTGATGATTTTTTTTCACTATTTTGGAGCAATGATGATTTAACAAATTCTCTAGCAAGAAAAGATATTGCTAAGCCTATTACAAGATATGTGCCCTGCCCTGCATTTAAATATATTATTGTGGGAAATAAGTAATTTTTAGTATCGGAAGATCTATGCTGTACTTTGTCATATTTTATTAGTGCACACAGATACATATTTATTCCTACATCAATACAATATGACCACTGTATACACATAGCACATAAGAATAACTTTAACAAATAATATAGTATGCATACATTTCCAGAAATCTGGTTTGTACACTTACAATTTTAGTTTTATTTCCAATAAACTTATTATATACACCTTAAGAATTATATACACCCCAAGACAATTTTGCACAGATATGGCTTTCCTGATTTAGACAAAGAGACAGATGGATTGGAATGCTTCAACTATTAATAGATGTTTGAAGTACTCACTGGAAAATGAGCATTTCAAAACTACTAATATCACACCAATTTTCTGAACTTGTATAGCAAAAGAAGTTCAGAATATTGGGTTGGGGAGTAATTTTGCAGTGCAAGTTACTGCCTGGAAAGAACCAGGATGGCATGACTACAACTTACCAAACAAAACTGTACTTCTCTGCAATTGATTAAAACTGTATGCTACAGCCTTCAGATTGTAACTAAAACAACAAACTGAACAGTGTTGTTTGAAAACTCTCAACAGAAATGATGCATTAAAGGAATTCTCCTGTGCCCCACTTGTCAAATGCAATACCTGAAAGTGAGAATGCAAAAAGATTCAAATAAATACTGGCAGGGTTTATGGACTAAATACAAATATGCAGGGAAATTCCATGGCCTTCAGAATAGCAATAAAAATATTCAAGTCTCAATGTGCAGATTTACTGAAAAATAAGATTGGATGGGTCAGTGGAAACCACATGTTTACATATAAAGCAAGAGGATATGGTCTAATTTTTATATGCAAAAGAGTGCCCTAGTGAACAGAGCTGAACCCTCCTCTCCCCCACCTCTTCATATTCCCTCTCCAGCAAAACTCAGGTCCAAACCACGTTACATCTACCATGCAGTGTATCCACTTCTAATGATGGATAAAGCACTTACATCATCAAAGCACATGATGATGTGATGACAGGAAGTTCAGTTCCACTAAGCCAGGCTCCATTTTTTATGTTAAGATCACATGAAAACACATGTAGTTTCTGTTACCATGATCAGATTATCCTTTAAAGGTGTTACTCCTAAAATGGGCAAACCAAAACAATCTACAATCCACAAGATGACTTGTAAGCCGCCCTGAGCCTACGGGGAGGGCGGGATAGAAATATAAATAATAATAATAAATAAATAAATAAATGATGATGTGATGACAGGAAGTTCAGTTCCACTAAGACAGGCTCCATTTTTTATGTTAAAATCACATGAAAACACATGTGGTTTCTGTCACCATGATCAGATTGTCCTTTAAAGTTGTTACTCCTAAAATGTGCAAACCAAAACAATCTACAATCCACAAGAAATCACTAAAATACTGTCCTAAGTCTCACGGTGTCTAAAATCATTCACTTTTGTCAGGAAATAAAATATGTAGTTAAAGGGGGCATTCAAATGTGTTGGGTGAATGGTAACAAGCTCTGATTAACTCCAGCAAAACATTTATAATACAATGGCCAAAAGGGTTGTAAACCTATCTGCCAGAACTGGATAGTACCAAGCCAGAAAAAAATAGGTAATTTTTTTTGTTAGTAC